TAAATATATATAATTGTATATTCTATTATGTCTGTTTTAATTGTTTCTATGAATATATAGTGTTAACGAACAATATCGTATCAGGAGATAAGATTCTATCGTTTTAATAGAGATACAGCTTTAGGTATATATATTAGGCTATGTTGGCATTATATTGATGTATATCTTTGCAGCTGCATTTTTCTAAGTATTTTATTCAACGAGTTGATAACTGCTAAATTCAAGCTTGCAAACAATAACGGGCTTCAATCATACGAACAAGTATCAATGATTCTTCATCGAGATCGGTATCACGGGATTTTTTTTAGAATTGTCAGTCATGATAAGCCGGCTTCAGGGTACCGGATACGCGTGACGATGCACGTATGACGAGCCAACTTCCGGTCCTCGGTCGCCAGAGAAACGCACGCGAGACGCATCTCAATGAGCGCATCTCTATTTCTTTCTCTTTCTCGCTCGTGCTTTCTCAATCCTTCTCTCTTTCTTTTCCCAACTTTGTGCGTTTTCTTGTGGATACGGTTTGTGGTTTACGTACGCATAGGTATACGCGAGATGTCGAGAAAGTACACAAAAAATTTAGAATTGATATTTCTAGAATGGAAATTTAATCTATTTTCGATAATATTTTGATTAATATAAAATAAAACGGTATATGATTGTCAAAATGAGGAAATGTATTTTTTCGAATGTTTTCTAAGCAACCGGGACTTTCTCGTGAAGTTTAAATTTTTTTTTTAATTTATTTATAATTTCAATTTTTATTTTCTAACACACACACACACACACACACACACATAATAAAGTTTAGACATTAAATAACGAAGCAGTTTGGTTCTCGTATAGAAACTTATAAGTTGGGTGATGAGAGGATGTTGCTACTCGTCTTTTTTTGGGACATCCTGTATACGTTAACTGGCATTACGCACTTGTTCGCCCACGTTTGGGACTGTCTACGAGCAATGTGCGTGGGACAATGTGGCACAATTTTTGACAGCTACACATCGTGCTGCGCCACATGGATTGCCCATTTCTTTCTATCGCAAGCGATACGCACGCATTTCATTCAAGCGTATCGATTACTGTTCGACATCGTTCATAAAACTCGATGGAACGAAAAGGGATATAAACGTGAACATCGACACGATGCAGCGTGATGTAATTTATAAGCTGCATTAACCTGGAGAGAATTGAAATGAATTTTGAATACAAAGTTTTATTTAGAGTTAAAAGTAATCAACGACGAATAAATGTAATATGTATTAAAAAAAGGAATATGAGATGAATTTAGAATCACTTCGATAGTGTCATAAATTCTAAATTTTGCAAACTTAAAGAAGTAAATTCAGATGTCAAATACAATTATAATGTCAAATGCAAAGGAAAATTCGTCGCTCTTTGAAATCTCACGAGATTATAAATTAAATTACACGCCGCCAATTGTTCTTTAAATCTACGGATCTATGGAATCGTGACAAAACAGCACGGAACGTCTGCGTGAATAACGATGGTGGTTTTCTTTTTTTTTTTTTTTCTTTTTTATACCGGACAATACAATGAGATATTTTGCAGAGGTCCGCGACAATACGCTACCACGTGTACGTCGTGAAAGAGACAGTACGATCAATAGAATGTCACTTATACGGAATGTTTTGCGTCACCGGATGGCAGACAGACTATTCCGCATAATCCCTTCTGGCCTTAATGGAAAATTTCCCCGTTTAATAGAGACAGATTAGATATAGCTTTCTTCACGTATGTATATTTCTCTGGATGTTTAACTTCATATTCAAAAACATTGAGAATTCACAGATAAAGTAAATTAACTTTTCCGAACAATGAATGTATGTCTCGTTAAGATAATTTGAATAAAAAGCACGAAAATATGGTGAAATAATATCGACAAGAGAAATTGCAGACAGTTCCCAGTGAGCTTCACACAAATAATAAGGCAAAACGTATATAACGTAAAATAAACTGTAATAAAATAAAAAAAAAATATACGCGCGGAATAAAAGATAATATCCTGCTATAGTATTGATATATATATTATAAAATATATACTAATATATGTAATATTATATACGTATCTAATATATAAAATATATAATATAACAATACACCATAAAAATTCAGAAAAATAATAATCCTATGTAAATAA